AATGGGAAAGGAATATATACACACAGCAATGTCATCCTATTTCAATTGCCTCCAGCAATATTTTTCACTCACATCGTGTGCTTAAAAAAAATGAGGTAAGTATACAATGCCTCTGTCAAAATTTAAGTCTAAGTCACACAATAGAAAAAAATACATTCATCAGAATGTTTGAATAGCCCCCCCTTTAAAAAAAAAAAAGAACTGCAAGGTAAAATTGTATTTTGGAAAAATCACAAAAAATTAAAGAAAGCAAACTCATCTGAACATGGAAAAATGTCTGAATATATTTTGCTTTGGAAAAGGCTGATATTGTACTGTTCACTCCCCCCCCCCATCTCCTCTATAGCATTTGAAATCATATTTTCAGCACTAGAAAGAAAATCTAATCAAAACAATGGTCTGCTCGGAATCAGACATTACTTAAGAGCCTGGTTTTGTGCTTTGGGGTATGCAGTGGCTCACGTGGTTAAGACACTGACTTTGTTGACTGCAAGATCGGCAGGTTGGCAGATCAAGGCCTAGATGCCGCATGATGGGGTGAACTCCCATCAATAGTCCCAGCTTCTGCCAACCTAGCAGTTTGAAAGCATGCAAATGCAAGTAGATAAATAGATACCACTTTGGTGGGAAGGTAAACAGTGTTCTGTGCAAGCATGCTCAGCACATGATCACAGAGTAGTCTCTGACAACACTGGCTCTTCAGCTTAGTAAAGGAGATGAGCACCACCATCTACAGCAGGGGTAGGCAACCTTTCCCCTTTAAGGGCCGAGGGACTTCAGCTCCCAGAAGCTTCAGCCATGTTGGCCAATAGTCCCATGTTGGCCAATAGCTCCTTCGATTCTGGGAGCTGAAGTCCCTCAGCCCTTAAAGGGGAAAGGTTGCCTACCCCTGCTTTACAGTCAGACACGACTTGACAACCTTGTCAATGGAGATTACCTTTACCTTTATCTTTTGTGTTATACTTCACCTATGAAAAGCAGCCAGGTTGTCAAGTCTGCAGGCTACCTTGCAATAGTCACCAGAACAGGAAAACGTAGAGGTATAACTATGGGGGGGGGGGGGGGGGGGTTTGAACACATTGCACTGCAAATATTAATTCTGCCCCCTGAGTAGAAATTTTCTTTCAGCTCCCCAATTTCTAGCATTGCTGCAATTTAAAGTTTCCTTGAAACTTTAGAAATACCTTGTACGGCCTTTACAGACTGTCAGAAATAATGCAACTTAAGGCCACTTTAACTGTCCTGGCTCAGTGCTAGGAAATCATGGGAATTGTAGTTTATTGTGGCACCAGAGAAGGCTGACAGAGAAGGCTCAATGGCCCAGGAAAAAAAATACAATTCCCATGATTCCTTAGCACTGAGCCAGGACAGTTAAAGTGGCCTCAAGTTGCATTATTTCTGGCAGCCTGTAAAGGCCCTTAGACATCCAAAGAAAAAAGGCAAGCAAAATCATGAAGGGAATGCAAACATAGCAAATATGAGTTCTAAGTATGAATGCTTTTCAATACCCCACTTTCTGAAATACTAGAAATGTGGGAACTGAAGGAAATTTCATTATGGGGTACAATTTTTATATGGAGAAAATTCCCTAATTTTGCCCCCCTCCACCCACCAGCAATGCCAGCATCTCCTTGAAATCTGAAGAAATTATAGCTCAAAATGAGTCTGCAAAAACAAGGTAACTAGAGGGATATTTTCACCTGTGTATACTAGTACTAACTGCAGAGAGTATTCCAGTTTAAGTAAATAAAACATTTTATTTAAAAATGTGCAAGGGTTTGTGCAAACATAGAAGAACCAAGGCAACCTTAGGAATCATACAAAGCTATCAGAAGGAAAGGTGTGAAATGTTGGACAGAGAGAAATCAGAGATCAAAGAGGATGATAATTACCAGTCTTGAAGAGAGGTTCATGGAAAACAGAGTGGCTCATATCACATCTGAGGGATGATAATTACCAGTCTTGAAGAGAGGTTCATGGAAAACAGAGTGGCTCATATCACATCTGAGGGTTACACAGAGAGAGCCTTGGTTTGTGAACAATGTGGCTTGGGCTGGGGCAGATATTTATACCCCATTTCATACCCTTGAGGGGTGTGTAAATTTCTGGAGGAAATTTACTATGACAAAGATCTTGATGCTTTCCCAGGGGACTGACAAAGGGGTCTGAACTGCTGATGGCTTTAATTCTGAAATGACAACACATTTTAGATCTGAGACAATCCCTTAATGATCAGGCAGGAAGGGTGTTCAGGAACATGAACATAAGGTGGAGTAAAGGATATGATCACTGAGTGCCTTTCAATGGAACTCCTTTTATTTCCACTATAAGCAGAAATGCCCAGAGTTTAGAGGGGGGAGTGAGGTAATCATTGTGATGTAAGGTACCTTTAAGGCACCTGGCTGTGTTCTTGGTGAAATAAACTTATCACTCCTCACATGAGATGGGACTCTGTTTGGATTATTGTCAGATTGGATTCTAACAGCAGACATTACAATCATCAAAACCATTTAGCGTTATCTAGGTCTTTGCATGTCCTCTGTTCAGTGAGACCCCTGCATGTGTATAACTTCTAGTTTCTACAGGTCATTGAAACCCTGAAACATGACCAATTGCAAATATTATGAAACTGCATATCTAGAAGGAGGGGTGTAGGAAATGTTAATAGTATACCCTCTTGGAAAGCCTGTGTCCTTCTGGAGGAAAAGGAATCTCCAGGTCAAGGCTGGCCCTGCCATTAATCAGAGAGAGGCAGCTGCACAGACAGATGATTATTACTGTATTTTGCTGCTGGGGAGATGGCGAAAATTGCTTGTGGGATCTTCTGCCTCAACTACCAAAATAACTTTGCTTTTTGGAAACTACATATCATGACCTTGTGATGGAGAGGCATCTGGAAGCAATAAATGTAGGGCCTTTTCTGTTCTGATTGCTTCCACAATAGGACTCTTTGGTACTTTTTGAACAACATGCTTGCATGATCAGATTGGAAGCAAAACTATACTGACTGCCCCCCACCACATTCAATATGCTGCCATACTAAAAGGGGTCTGGGATTAAGAGCTGAGAATTGTAGCCTTAAAGTGGTTGTTCACAAATGAATCCCATTTGGCACAATCTATAACACAGCCTTCTCTCAGCCCCCAGTTCTGAAATCTGAATCTAACTGGGTTTCAAATCACTATCTGGGGTTATGATTTTAAAATGCAAGGTGCCTCAAACCTGATGGGAGGAAAGGGATGGAGGGAAGAAAGAGCTATGATAAAATTACATTCCAAATGACTTTTCTGGCCAGGAAAAAAAAAAGTTCCTGGGATCTGTACATGAAAGGATCCAGTTCACGCACCCAACATTTCTCTCTTCCAAACACAGCAACTGCTGCAGCACTTGGCAGATCAGATGTATGGGATTTTGCTAATTTAAAACATTTCAGACCACTAGAAGTCTAAATTACCAGACAACTGGAAGGTGTTGAATATCTTTGCAGTCAAGATTCAGACTTTGACATTTTGAAGAGTCCTCACATCTTAAGAAGGCATCTTAAGAGGTGGGGACTTATTTCCATATTTGGTGGGAATGTGCCCAGGCCAAAAAAATTTGGAATAAGATACATATTGAAATAGAGTTAATATTAGGACAATCGATAAAGAAAGACCCGGCAATGTATCTATTAAATGAAAATGAAGAGGACAGTTTAGAAAAAGAACATGGGAGGCTTATATTCTATATGACAATTGCAGCTAGACTGACATACGCCAATAAATGGAAGCAAAATGTAATCCCAGATGATTGGGTTTGGAAAATATATGATTTAATGGAGAATGAAAAGCTTACACAATTGTTATAAAAAAAAACCGTTAAAAATCTTTAATAAGGTATGGAATCCATTTATTAAATATATCAAACAGAAATGGGGTGAACTTTGGGTGAAAGGATTGGAAAACATAAATATACAACAGTTAATGGAAAAGTGATGTTGATTAGAATATGTAATATATCACTAGCAAAGGTATTGTACATTTTCATGATGAAGTCATTTAGAAATAGGAAACTTTTATATTCATAAAGCAATGATTATATGTATTATTTGTAAGATAATGTAATAGATATAGTAAAAGTATAGGCAACATATTATAGAAATATAAAATAGTATTGCTAGAGGGAACATTTAGTTCCATGAAGCACAATCAGTTGATAGTATAAGGAAGGTTTTTATATTTTTGTAGTAAATGTTGTGTTCTTAGCTGTTTTAAGTTGTGTGTTGTTAACAAGTCTGGTGTCTTTCTATTTTATTTTGTTATGTATGTATTATTGTTGTTTTGTCTTATATGTTATTTTTGTTTTAAAAGATATAATAAAAAATTTAATAAAAAAGGCATTCATCCCTAAGTATATTTTCCTCTTTTGGTTAGGGAAATATACCATCTTATTTTGAATGTATGTGTTACACTTAATTTTATATATTTATGCATAACTATATGTTTTTATATTATTTAGATTATAGATTTTTTATGTCCACAAAAGCTCACACTAAAAAAACCAATTATTCTTAAAGTGCTTAAAGGTTCTTTCCCCCCTTTTATTCCCCCTCCCTTCTTCCAATTTTTAATGGTTTCTGGATTTACAGTGATATAAATTTTGTGTGTTTTTCCATTTACTATCATTTTTTGCACTTTTGGATCTTTTAGTTGAATTGTTTCCTGGGGGGGAGGGACCCTTGTATTATGATGAAAATACCCAACTTTCTGGGCAAATGTTTTTTTTATGCACAAGCCCCAAGGCTTTTAAAAAAAAATAAAAGCAAGTTTTTGCACAATTTACTTTCTGCAAAAAAGTGTCAAAAATCCAAAGGGGGGGGGAACCTCTTACAGTGACTGACCATTTTCTCAAGGTGTTGAAATAGCTTTTGCTATTGAGGATGAGAAAATGTGTGAGTATTCTTCACATCACTGAAGTCTTCTTCAATGGCTGCATTGGTAATTAGTTTGTTTTGTTAGTGAGCCAGTGTGGCATAATGGTTTGAGTGTTGGACTACAACTCTGGAAACCAGGGTTTCATTCCCAGCTCAGCCATGAAACCTTGGACAAGTCACATGCTCTCAGTCTCAGGGAAGGGCAATGGCAAACCCCTTACAAACAAATCTTGCCAAGAAAACCCCACGATAGGATTACCTTAGGGTCTCCATGTTGGAAATGACTTAAAAGGCACACAAAAACAACAACAACATTTTTTAAGAATACTTTTAAAAATATATTCATGAATTCCAATTTTATTACACTGGAGACAGAAAATATACTTTGAAGCTCTGAAGTGATGACCAGGCACATATTCTAAAATAGATAAGAACTTTATCTGACCACACTTCCACTGTACTCAGAGGCATTTGTCTTTTGGAGGGGTAAAGAAAGTAAATTTAAACCAAATTCACTACTTCACCCTCATACAATTTCGCAGGTAATGATGATTCAATAGCCCATTCACCAGAGAGAGTTTCCATCTCATCTTTGGAAATTTGTTATGTGTTCCTTCAGAACACTGAGAAATGAAGACCATATCAGGTGCAGACCATGCTATGTTGCTTTTTAGCAGTATACATTTCCAGTACAAATAGGCAAAAAAATCTCAAAGGGGGGGGGGGGAATACTGCAATTGCATTCAAAATGGCAAACACATTAAAAAGGTCTCATTTTCTATACTTCTCAACATTTTTTTTGTGCCAAACCTACTGATGTATCTGTCTCCCCCTATGCTGGACTTACACTTGAAGAAAACTTTTTGAAATCTTACCTCTACAGCAAGCTGTACTGTATGGCTAACCAGCCATACCTTTAAATCATTAAACCTTTTAGGGCTTCTGGCTGAAAAGCTAGCTTTCTTATTCAGAATCTTAAAGGTAATATCTAGTCATAACTGACTGTAGGGGGTGGTACTTATCTCTGTTACTAAGCTGAAAAGCGAACGTTGTCTGAGGACTGCTCTAATGTTCATGTGGCCAGCATGACTGCACTGAATGCTGTTACCTTCCCACCAAAGTGGTACTTTTTTATCTACTTGCATTTTTATTTATCTACTTGCATTTGCATGCTTTCGAACTGCTAGGTTGGCAGAAGTGAATCTCTATTTGTTCAGAGAACAAATAGAGCTCCTCTATTTTCAGTTCAAAACAGAGCCTAAAATAGTAGTTACTTGTTTATATACCTATGTATCTTAAAAAGACTATAATGAAACCTTTCCCCTCAAAATATATTTACAAGGTTTTTTCAGCCTTTTACCCAAGAACAGATAATATTCAGGATCATAAGCTGCTCCACAACTCTTGAAGTACAAGTGGATTTGTCAGGGGGTGATCAAAATAAGATTTATGCTTTCAGTTATGGATTTTGAAAGCATCATTAATGCATGTGCTGTGTGAGCATCAGCACAACATGGGCTAGAGTAGGGGTAGGCCACCTGTGGTCCAAAGAGCATTGACACTCTTGCCCTAGTTTCATATAGCCCAATTTTTAACACCCATTGCAGCAATAATTTTTGATCTGTCTCTCCCACAGCAGAGGGAGAAAGAAGAAGTGGAGGGTGTCAGAAATGTATTGTTCATGTATTTTAAAAAGAGCAGCCAGGTCAGAATCACCCCTAGTCTTGTGATTTCAAGGCCCAATCTCAAGATGTGGGGATGGCCCCTTGGTGAAACTGCACAGCATGAGACTTTAGGCACCAATCACGGTTATTCAGAACATACCTTTCAAATAAAAAGCACAAGATGAGGACATGCTGCTAAGACTGGAAATGAAGATACACATTTTATATAGAACATAATGTTCCCAGGTCTAATTGAATTGAATTCCTTCTCACCTGCTTAGGGAACCTGGATAAAGAACATTTAATCCTGCCTAGTTGTTTCTGCCAATAAGGGTATATGTGCCCTCAGGCCATGCCAGACACCAGAAGACTGTTCAAGGTAAAGATGTTAAAGGCAAACAGTTGGAACCAATGACTGATGCCCCTGATACTTGCAATTCTAAACACAATATATCTGCTTTACAGATCTGTGGTCATTTCCTAAGCTATAGCTTAAACAAAAGGGATGGGATGATGGAAGTTGTATTCTCACAAATTTTAGGTGACTGCTTTTTCACACCAAGCACAGAGCAATTTACTCCCTAGTCTGCTTCACATACATATACTGCCAAAATCTGCTTTGACCCTGAAAATAGGACAGGGGCTTTCAGACATTTTAAAAATGTTTTTACAGAGTCCACTTTTAACCTCAACAGGGACTGGAGCAGAAAGGATTAATATCAATAAGGAAGATGCTTTACTGCCTGCCAACATTTATCCCAGAGAAGGGAAAATCACCTGTGGAACAGCCTGTTCTCATCAACATTGCCCCAATACCAGACCACCGAAAGGTTCCCATTATTTCCAAAGTTTTATTTCCAGATTATCTGTGAAACAATATTTTTCTCTTCTAGCCCAGTCCTTCAGAACTTATCTCTCTCTGAGTTTCTGACTTCTCTTCAGTCGCTACTAAATCCTTTGTTTTGGTTCACTTTTCAAGTTTTTCAGTCCCTCAGCCTCTTGCCTAGACTCACAAACTTGTAGCCACTGACAGGCCATACCATCATGAATGGCAGTAACAGAAAAGGGGAGAGAAGTACTATGCTTGTTGACCCACTGCCATACCTCTTTTCTCACTGGAGGAACTTTCCCCCATATTCTCTTCTGTGAAATCAAGGCATCTGTGGAGGTTTCAAAGGCAGAGGAGAAAAGGAAGTTCAGGCCCCATTCACACTGTGTGAAAATGGGTTATTTCCATGACATTTACACTGGCCCTGAATGCACCCAGTGCCATTTGTGTGTGTGAAGGGGGCTGCCGAAAAATCCACTTAACCCAGTATATTTGATACCAGTTTTTCCCCTGCATCTTTTTAAAGAGCTGCCATGATCCGCATCATTTGGTAGTGTGAGTATGCTACCGAATTGATTCAGATCAGGCTGCATCGTTCCCAGAAATGGAGGTGCCCCCATTTTAAATTGCTCCAATGTCAGGTGTGAATAGCAACAGAGTTAAAATGCCATGGAGAGATTCAGGAATGGAAAATATAGTGAGAACACTGATCAGGTATTACATCACCACAGAGATCTGGATCTCTGGGACAAAAAAGTAGGTGTGAATTCCCCCTTCGATGAGTTTCCAAGGTAGCTTTGAAGTACAGATAGCTAATAACTTTGCAAGGTTGCTTTCAGCACATAGTAACTGCAAGCAGCGTATCATGAGCAAGGGAAATGGGCGTAGCTTCCTTTACTGTGCTAGAAATTGTAGGATATACTAGAAAAATGTATATTGCCTGTCACTAAAACAAAACAATACAAACCCCTTGGGCACTGAACCTGGATCTGTACAACATGTAAAAACCACTGCAAGCACAATACAATACATGTTTTCCTAGTCTGAACTATCTTTTTGTAATCTACACAATGTCAGACCAGGATAATGAAGACTAAAAAAGATTGAGCCTTACCTATTACAATCACAGTGGGGAAACATTCTTGGCAGTGCCATTTGTACATGAAATAAGAAAACGAAAGCAAATGCAAAAGTATTCCAACACGGGAAATGAATGCAATGAAATAATCCACATCTGCCAAGGTCTATCCTCTTTTTCAAAACAAAGTCCTTGGAATCACAATAGTATAGTGCCTTGTCTACCCAGTCCTGCAAAAACTGATTAGTCCATCCGTTCCAGCTCAGAAGAATGCCACAAAAATAAGTAAGTGCTGACCATTAATTCACAGTAGTTTTCTTTCTGAAACTTACACACATGAACACAAGCACACGCAGAGAAGACATGTTTGGACAGCAAGTCACATTAGTTCTACTTATTACCACCTGTGGTGAGGGATGATAGATTTTCAATAATGAAGATGACAGATTATTCCACATCTCTGCATCAAACAACACTTAGATTGATTTTATCCATACTTTATCCATAATGAATAAATCTACCACACAGTCTTAGCTGATTTATAGGTAGGATTACAACTCCCAACAACACCTGACATTCTCAGTGGCAGAATGCTGTTTGGTTGTTGAGGTCAAGTCAGTATATTTACACACCTTAAACTAAGCAAATTGACATGCACAATCCTGTTTGTCGTGGAGAAAAACCAAACAAATTCTCGTTCTGTTTACTTGTTTACTTAACTATGCACAAATCATTTAAATCAGTTATGCACATTAAAATGAGGTCATGAACAGAAATCAAAAGCAGAAAACTTTATGAGGTTTTTTTCTGTTGCTCTCTTCTTGGTGAACCAACTGGGAGGGGGGTTACTATGATATTTTGGGATATCCAGTGATACATCCTTTAGGAAGTTGCTGTGTTTGTTTCTCAGTAGTGACCATTTTGATTTCCTGCACACAATGAGGTGAAAATAGTGGTGGGAACATGGAAAATAGTTGCACAGAGGGGGAACTGCTGTGGTAATTTGGTAAGGAACTATCTATGGATGAGAAGGGAGGGGACAATACTCATGGGTATTACAACCTATTTCCTTTGGCAATGGTGCAAATGTTAGCAAATGGTGCAAGTGCAAATGTGGCAATCATGTAAATGTGCTGCATTAAGAGTGATGTGAGGAATGGACAGAGTTAGGGTACCACAAAACTCTTGAACTGCTGTGACCTGCTTATTAAAAAGCAGAAAATACATGACAGAGCCAATCTAATGTGTGAACCATATGTGTGATACGGTATGTGACAAGAAGGAGAAATTGCTGTGTTATAGGTTTTGTTTAAAGTTAGCAACCCAAAGCACCAAAATGTGAGCTTTATACAGAAAGCTATTTCTGATATACTTTAATACAACTAAATTTGCTTGTTCCCACTGTACATATATATTTCAGTGTAAGTTCACATACTGACAAGTGTCCATTTAATTAGTAATATGCCATGCTATGAAAATGCAGTTCCTTGCTCTAATTCAGGGGTAGGCAACCTTTCCCCTTTAAGGGCCGAGGGACTTCAGCTCCCAGAAGCCTCAGCCATGTTGGCCAATAGTCCCATGTTGGCCAA